TTTTTCTTTCTTTCTTTCTTAGAAACGCCATGTATTATTCGAACTGCACTTCAGTATGTAATTTTCAGAGCCAAAGTAGGGCGGTCACATTTCTCACTGAGCTAAAGCTTAATTGTCCTAGTCGAGAGGTGGATATCATGGCCTGCTTCATTTCAGTAGCATGTACTTGGTAATCGGATGCCAAAAAAAAAAAAAAACACAGTCGCATGAAGCACTTATGCTGGCCTTTTCGTGGTGTGATGCAAGCATTGCTGTTGGTGAGACAATGTGTCGAATACACAAAGATGAGGAAAAAAAACAAAAGAATCATTGATGTGCGCATCGAGAGAGAAAAAAACAAACATGCAAACAGCGACCTACCTGCCACATTGTTTATTGAAATTAACGGCAAATGATGAAAGATTCTCCGTCGCAAAATCCCGGTCGTCTGCCGTCGTCGCTGTCAAACTGAATTATTGTGAGACGCGAGAAACAACCCGTTTCTGAATGTGAACGTTGTGGTGATTTAGTTAAAAGAGAATCAAACAGTTATGGAGTTTATGAAAATAATTTTCTTTAAATCAGTAGCAGAAGCCTTGGTTCAGCATCCTGAGCTCCAAGATGTTTTATTTTGGAGGTTGATACAATGGAAGATGAAATTATGCCTAAATGTGGATTAATTAACTTATTTAGTTTTTTCTTCTTAGTGCAACGTTTACCAAGGCTTCGGTACCGTCACACTCGTGTCTATTTTTTGATTGGTAGTCTGTCCTTCCTTGAACCTACAGCGCAAACGCTGAAAAATAAAGCCTATGCATAATTGAATCACCTGGACCAAAATAACTCCACCATGTCAGTGCAAAAAAAAAAAAAGAAACAATCTCCGAGGTACTGTGATTGTAATCACGGAGCATGAACAAAGGGGAATGTTATGTCGCTGTGCGGAGCGGAGCGGTGGCCCGGTCTTTCTGAAAAATAGAATAAAGCAGAGCCAAATAATGCTGGTGACGGTTTATTCACTGGCCAGGACCACAAAGGAAAGGTTATCAAACGGTGTTTGAATCAACATGTAAAACTCGAAATCCCAAAATTATTTGGATTTCGGTGCTGATGGGAGAACGTTAATCCAGAAGATTTCATGTGTAGTCGATGAAGCGTATTGTAACAATGGAACTTAAGTAACTAAAAGCCAGACTAGTGGATCACTTGAACAGTCCTTGATGGTTAATTTTTTTAGGTTTTGTTCACTTCTTTAAGTTCCATGTTATATGGATGGAATACGCACCGGACTAAGCGTTACATTTCTTGGTAATAAATCACTGAAATGATAAACTCCCTTCTGCCTCCTACGAATGCGACGTTGGTTGTAGACCATTTTCATCCGAGTCTCTGACTGTGCAGATGCTGATTTGTTTGTTTTTTAATAGAAAAAAATTCAGAAACCTCTATCCATAGTTGTGCAGGCAGAGTCTTAGTTTGAACTTTCTTCTTGATACTCCCCAATCAATGTAAAACAACAATCCACCAAATCTTCTAAGTTGTCATTTGCTTCACGGAGAAGTCGTAAACCTGCTTCCACAGCCGAGTGATCCGAGCGAGCTGATCCCATCGAGTGAGAAAAAGGAAGCCGTTCGATTGGATAGCGGGCGCCATCCGTTCCCACCCTGACCACAGACATGCAGGTTACAGTGTCCCTGTCTGACTTTATCTCTCGGAGCACCGACTCATCTTCAGACCCAAGGTTTCAGGCCCGACTCTTGCTCGAGATAAAGCCTGAAATAGACCACTCTCGCTGACAGCGAGGCGGCGTTAGATAAGGCTGTTGTGTCCACAGCTTGGAGCTGGAAATGGAGAGGGAGCGCAGAGGAGAGAGAGTGTATGCATGAGCAAGTAAGCAGAATACAGTTGTGAGATTGCAATTCCGTTGAAGGGTTCTGCTGTATGTGTTCGGCCTCCGACCCCCTTGTTCAAACACAGATAAAAGGAGGGGAAGTTATAGAACTGCACAAATCTTTTGCACCCTTGCTTTTCTCGCCGATTGATTGCGCCTATTGACCCGTGTGGCTTAAAGCCCCAGCCAATTTGGTCACCCTGGCTTACAAAGATAAGAAAATTACCTTTTTTGCAACGCGCACGCTTGCGCGTAAACGCACGCCGGCACGCGTGCATACCGAGGTGAACGGGCTCGACGGCGGCGTTTTATTAAGCCTCCGCCAGACGCCGAGCAGCAAAAAGTGCATCTGAAATGGCTTTCCTGCATTGGCATGCGGAAGCCAATCAATAATTGTGTGTCTTAGTAAATTAGATCCTGCAGACAAGAGGCAGTAGTCAGCAGAGCCATCCCAGAGTAACCCCTTGCCTGGTTAGTTCATTCTTCATTAGACAATGGCCCGGAGTAATTGAATTGGCCTGTACAAGCTGAGGGCTTGGCCTTCGCTTTTTCGCCTTTGACAGCATATATTCAGATCTGATGGCTGTAGACCAGAGCCAAGAGCCCATTTATGACGGAGAGCCAAAGTTAAGACACTTAAAAGTACATCTGCAATCAAATACCTTTAGTTTAATGTCCACGTCCTGGGATTGATAATCAATAGGATGCTGGTCCGTTGAAGTTAGAACTACAAATCAATGTCTCGTGACTGAACAAAATCAGATTTTTATCATACTTCTGTACTTTCCTCACTCATTATTCCAGAGTTGACCATCACAATGGCCAGACAATGGGAACACATGGGTGGATGGATGGGAGCATGTGATGCTTAAATTTCCATCATTTGCCTCTACATGAACTACGTTTTTGTGATATTCCCAAATTCATTATTTGTTTTTATCAGCAGTTGGCACGAACCTAGGAGTATTTGACGTTTTCAATGTTTTGTTGAAAATATCGACTGCCACGTCCATCTGACTGAGTTTTTTGTGTTTTTTTTTTTGTCTTGGGTTTCTTGAATCGTTTTATTTAATTTCCTTGTCAATTTCGCCTAGTCAACAATTATAATGGTGAAAAACCTCAGGACGTTTCAGAAAATGCACCCAAGTTGGGACTCGAATTTTAAATCAGATTTGTTTTTCAAAATAAGATGGAGGTCAAAGTTATATATTTTCCCTCCCGTTCTAGCCTGGCAGGTCTGCTGGGAGACCTCTGTCTGTTGTCAGCGGTCAAAGGTCAAGAGTTTGTGTAGCTCCTGAGCAGGTGAGTAGAGACCAAGGGAAATCACATTCAGTGTTAAATATTTTGTTTTATTTTTTTAAAGGTAAATGTTTTAAGCGTGTTCTAGAAAGGGGGGCGGGGGGGAGTCTTAAATTGAGTCATCTTCACTTTCAACCTTAAAAAGTCTAGTCAAATATGCAACAAAAGATCTTCAATTCAATTTAGATCAGTTTGTAAGTTTGCTATTTCAGTGCTTCTTGCACTAGCAGAAAGTTCTGTTGCACAACTAAACTGCTGGTGTATAGGCAGTAAAAACATACGTATGCTAAGTTTAGTTTTTACTCGAGCGGTTTCCAGTTTTTTGTCTGATACGGAAAAAAAACATCCATTGGTAAATGTGGCCATAATTCCTTTTGACATGGGCAGCCAAGGGGAAAGAATATGAGGGCTCAAAAGAAAAGAAGGCAGCGAATGACAGTTTAGAGAGAGAGAGAGTTTCTGCCTTGCTGAAAAACACCAGCAAGAAGATGCACCCAATTTATATTGTTCTCAAAATGGCTAATGAGAATAAAACAGATGGGGAAACAACGATCACCAAGTGACGCTGTTTCCAATTTGGTGTGTCCGAAAGTGTATTCATTTCATTTCATGCTTTTATTCCGTTTTTTTCCGTGACGAGGGAGACGAGAGAGGTGCTTCTCTCCCAGTGCAGCTTGCATGGGAATTTGGTTCGTCGCTTCTAGGAAAGTGTTTCAGGAAGAAATGACAACCTGTGTGTGTGTTAAAGGGATGATCCAGAATTTTTAAAGTGAAGTTCTGTTAGAAGTGGCAGTGTTCATAAAATACTAGGAGATACACCGATTTATCGGTGCAGATTTTCTGAATCTTTTGGAGATCGGTGATCGGACGATACTTGCACGTGAAGCCGATCTTATCGTCCGATTTTATCTACCTCAAGAAAGGTCTAGAGGTTTGAATGATTAACCGGCCAACCAAGTCATGTCTGCACTTTTTCAGTTAACAATAGCCACCCCACTTTTTACCAACTCAGCAACTTTATTGCTATTCTTAGTAACATATCAGTCAAAAAAAAAAAAAAATCAGAATCGGCAGATCAGACTTTTTAAAGATTGCTGATCAGCAAATGGACAGAAAACTGCAACTGGTGCGACGCTACAAAATAAGTGCCTATTTCACATCTTGAATTTATACCACTAGTTTGCATTTATTATCTCCATATAACATAACAAAAATTTGCCTAAGAAAAACTCTGAACTATCCCTTTAAACTAGCCAGAACATATGCATGTAGCTCACTGTTTTTTCTGTTTTTTATTACTCCTAATCTTTTTTCTATTTTCCTTTTTCCACTTCGTAAACATATCCCGTATCTCTGTTGCTGTCACCCGCTACTCTCATCCGCTCTTTTGTTTATCCCTTCATCTCTTCCTGTACCTTTCAACCCCCCGCTTCCCCTATTTCTCTTTCACTGCTGCAGCCTGGGAATCTGCCACCATCCATCGCAAGCAGCAGGTAATGGATCGAGCGAGCGCGGGACCTGATGTGGCTGCAGATGAGCCGGCCCCGTGGGCGTGAGAGTGGGTGTTCAAATGGATTTGGAGAAGCTCGCCTGGAGTACCAGCACACCTAGAACTTAGTGTTCACTCCTCGGTGCCAAACCCTTCACATCTCCTCATTTCTTCCCTCAAAGACAAAACAAAAACAAAAAAACAAACCCGTGACAGCAGGATGCTGGAATGCTGTTGTCGGGTTGGTTAGGGGACATTTTGATGCTATCAGGACGCTCTTTCTCGACACTCTCTAATCCCGGCAGTGTCGCAAAAGCACTCTGTTCTACTTTCTCGCTGTGATTGCTGAAGCATAGATCAGGAGCCTTATAAAGGTAGCGCCCACCCCGATGTCACAATATCACTGCTGGAAATCATAAATTGTTTGAGTGTACGCCATGTGTTCAGAGCAGTTGTGGAGTGCAGAGTAAATGGCTCCAAACTAAAAGATGAAAAAAGAAAAAAAAGCTACAGGATGCTGCACTCTCCACAGAATCCTAGCAGAACACTGGAAGCTAATACTCACAAACATCTGTTAATAAATAATGGATGAAGATGAAATACTTGTATGGGCCACTCTAGAACAGATGTTATTTATAGCGTCATAGAGCTACGGTCTCAATCACGGCTGATGAAATTTAATATGAGACGTTTATTTTGCAATATCCTAAAGGTACATAGTCGTGTATTACAACTTTATGGATTTTTTTTTGAAGCTACGTTTTGTCATATCAGATCTAATTTTGCATGTATTTTTGGGGGAGGATATCATGGAATAGGCCGACACAAATTAATAGGACAGCAACCCTAAACTAACCTGAAATTTTAAATAAATTCTTAGTATTTTCGCCCAGTGTGCCTTGGCTTCGGGGCATTATTTATAAAATATACGCAATGTGGCAAAATGACCAGAAGGGCATATCCTGGGGGTAGAAATAGTACTTAAGAATGTATCCACTTTTGCGTTAATTTAAAAAAAGAAAAATTGACCAAACTTGTTGGCTGTCCTAGATTTATCTTTAAGTTGCTAAACGAGAGGGGGAAAGGGAGGAAAAGATCTTATGTGTCAAGTTTTGACTTTGTTGTCAAAACCTTAGTGTTTCCAACCCTGCACCTTTATTATGAACTGTCAAAAGAAAAAAACTTTGAGTTATTCTGGGTTTTCTTTTTGTTGTTTTCTATTATAATCCACCAAGAAGCCGTTCACAGTACCATTAAGAATTTGTAAAAAAAAAACAACAAAAAAAACCTTTTAACCACGACTGTTTTTCTTTGCATATACAAACAAAATGAAAAATCTAAATGGACCAAAAAGAGAGGAATGCTCTCATATAAAAGAGTTACATTTACAAGACAGCTGGAACTCTAAATTCCAGTTTCCTTAAACTGAACTGCTGCGTATTTTCTGTCTGTGAGAGATCCAGGTGTCATTTTATGTGTTTGTGTACACTGAAAATGTTTGGCCTTGGACCAAATGAAAATGCATCCTGGCATTGAAAACATTTTTTTTTTTTTTCTTGGTTTATTAGAACACATTTTGGGGGCGGGAGGGTGGCAGCATGTGCTCATGTGGCTGCACTTGAGAGAGATGATGGGAGGGCACAGCGGCCGCCTGCAGGCACCGGCGGCAGCACATTGTCGGGGGCAAATTCGAGGCCAGACACCTGTTCTCCCAAAATGAATTATGAAATGAAGACAAGCATCCACTGTTCTCTGCGCGTTTGGGCAAACGGGGGACGAGGCCAAAGACCTGGGGAGAAACGAAATGAAGGCGCACGTTAAGCAACGAGACAGCCAGAGGAAGAAATCAAGGTTATGAGTCCTTGTTAACTTTAATAGACTCTGATGAAGCCGAATGGAATTCGAATAGATTTTTCTGCTGCGTGCTTCCCCTTTGTGCCGATGCAACTAAATTAAAATAACTGCAGAGAGTCATTTAAATCTTATGAAATATCGCTGTTCATGAGCACGCTGCCAGTTGCCCCATAAAGTGAAGATGTAGCTGCTGTTATTTATACGTATGAGTCAGACATGCTTTGTCCCACGTTAGCTCGCGTCCCTATTTTATTTCACAATGCGAACACAACCGCAGCGCAAGGTAGTCAGTGATTCAGCAGCACTTGATTTTGTAAGCAAATTTACCTCCAGTGGGTAAAAAAAAAAGAAAAAAAAAAGCAACAACCACAAATTGGCTCCAACCGATGCTCACGTAACGTATAATTTATTCACACCTTTCTATTAATGCTCCTGTTGGGATATGAAGTATATGTTTGCTGAGGCTATATAATTACAGGTCGCTCAGTGTGTCAGCTGTGCAACTCCCAGAAAAGAATGAAAGCTCATTTCTTCAAGGAAAAGACGGGGATTTGAGAAAAGGTGTCCAATTTTAAAATGCATTCGGTTTTGATTGCTGAAGTTTAACCTCGCTGCGCTGGTGAAATCTGAGTGCGCATATTCAGCTGGGGGAAAAATAGATTGCTTCTATTTAACGATATCCGTGGGGCGGCACTTAACGCCTTGCTTAAAAAAAAACAAAAATTAAATAAGTGTGAGGTGTTTTGTTTTGCTCTGTCAAATTGATCAGGTTTTTTTTACAACCTTTTCAACTTTAATCTAAAAGTTTGTTTTTATTTTTTTGTGGGGTGTAGGTATGTCGTCCCATCGAAGCACGTTTCTGGTAGCTAATCTTAAAAATCGGACAAGAGAAATGCGTGTTGGATCTTTGTGAGTCAGAGAATTATGACCAGAAAGTAGCTTCTCCAATGTAATCGTCTGAAAATTTCAAATAACTGGAAGTGCGACAAACAAGGCTTGATTAGCACTCAAGTTTCTCTTACAATGCACAATAAAGAAGTTGGCAAGGAAGGTAAAAACCTCAGAGACAGTTGTAGAACCGTCTCCCCTCCCAATCAAAACAGAAATGGAGACAAACTGCCATTTCCTGCTTCCTGTTTTGTCCTTACTTAATCCGTAGTATGCATCAAACGTGCTTACAATGTTGGTAATTGGTGTTGGAGACAAAAACAATCTTAAAATGTCAGTTCTTTGAACAGTGTGTTCTTTTTTCTCTTTTCCTACTGGATACATTAGTCTGATTACGGTAGGTGAAAAACAATACATAGATCCAATGGGCTTCTATGGCCAGGCAGCTACAGACAGTGATCTAAGTCATATAGTACGACATCGTCGTCAGATCTCACAATTGCAGTTCTAAAAACTAATCCTATTAGAAACCATTCCTAGAAGAGTTGTAGCATCTGACACCATGTTAAACTCAATAGATTAAGAATTTAATTCCACCAAACTGCATATACGAGTATGGAGGAAGACAATCAAATACTAACAGCAATATAGCGTAGCTGGACATGCCAATGTGGATAAATAAACAGGTAAATCTGCCTGGTAGTAACCGACAACCTTGTAATTTCCTATGGATCAATAAAGTACCACCTTACCTAACTTACTATTGATAGCAGTCCAGCTACAGCAGTTAGTCCAATAACGTAACACTTAAGTGAAAATTGGCATTGCCTGCTGTCTAAACATTGCGAGTACTTGACCGAAATACAAAAGGAAAAAGAAGTCTGTGCAAAGATTTCCGTTGATGTCTTAAATGTGGTTGCAGATTTGTAAGGGTTGATCAAAAGGGTTGAGAAAACAGACTTTTAATGACTATGTCTTGGCGAAATTATGAATAGGATGTATGGTCTAACAGAAAATAATTCAGAAAGAACACCAGCTTTTCTTTTTTGTCAAAATATGACTATGCCAGTGTGTTTCATTTTACTAAACAAACATATTTAAGCCGTACCCAGCTTTATAGCATATTGATGTTTGAGCTGCATTAAAGTTTAAACCATTTCATTCTTTTAGAATGAGCAGTCATTACAAAATAATGACTGTCGCGTTTATTTTTAAAGTCTAATCACTGGAGATAATCACACAATGAATACCAGCAGAATGATAGGAGACGGCAAAGGTGTCGTCGCCACTGCTTTTATGCCGAGGATAGACGGTGTGCAAGTCAGCTAAAGGTACTATCCATGTAAGGTTACCAATAACAACCCACTTCTAACATGAAGACGTTGTCGGCTCGCATATCAACGAACCACAGGCGTGTATCATCTCGGTGTTTTTCAGCCACAGGAGCCAGGTTTCCGTCTAATAGAAAATACGATCCGACATGTCTTCACCCCATCATGTGGGTCAAGGTTGTGGCGTGGCTACTGATATGACAATCTGCTTGTCTCCAGTCTTTTCAAATGTAGCCGTCTACAAAAGCCGGGTCACGTTGCCGGCATGACGACATAAGCGACGAAAAGTGTGCAGTCAGTGTTGGAGGGTATGCCGGATTGCACGTTATACGAAGATCAGAGGAACTTGCATGATGCAAATCTCTTGCTGACTAAGCCCGGGGCCAATTTAGCGCAACAATGTAATTTGAACGCTCAAAGATGAATGACACAGTGGGTATACTTGTCGAGACTAATACACTATCAATCCATGACGGCAGCGCCGGAAGAAATTTGTTTATATTTAACTGCATTGCCTTGCAAACGCATTATACCCTTGAACTTTACGTACACGTTACAGCCACAAGCTTCACTGCATTTTATTGGGATATGACTTGATAGACGAAAACAGAGTAGTACGTGCTAAAAAAGAAAGTGGAGTGAAAAATGGAAAAAAACACTTAGATCAACATTTATCATTAATCTTTTTAGTATCGGAGCAAGAGAGAAACTCCTGTTAGTTTATAAATTACTTATCCTTCTCCGTATTAAACGTGGCGAACCAATATGTAGCTCTGTACTTTTACCTTGTCTTTCTTTTGGTTTGTTGTTTCCTTCTAGGTCATGCAAAGCATTTTAAACTGCCTTGTTGCTGAAAATGTGCTACATAAATAAAATGACATTTTAAAACAAGCTGAAGTTGTCTTGGTAATGTAACAGAATGCAGAAACTTTTTTGCACTGCTTTTTCTTTTAATCACTAAATGCTATTTTTATTTGAAATCAAACCAATCCAACGCTAGACCCCCCCCCCCCCTACCCCCAAAAACTGTACCTATAATGCAAATTTTTTTGGGTTTTCAAACC